GAGGATAATGAATTTCAGCTCAATTTAAGTATAATCTACTTCATTAGCACTTGGCATGCAGTTTGTGAACTCGAGTGAGTTATGAAGGTCTGATGCTAATATGCAACATCATTTTGGAAAAGACCAACTGTCAGTCAGGCTGTGACATTTTTATGCTTGGAGTTTCCTTTGATGATATTCGAGTTCTTTAAGGATGTCCTCTTGTTCAGTCGTGATTGCTTTTGTAATAAACCAAGTATTTGTAGCCTCGGGTCACATGTCTGAAGCTGGAGAGCTGTTCCTCTGACCTTGGGTTGTTCAATGGATTTTAAGTCAGAATGTGAAAGCACCAAAAATATCCCTCCACGCAATTAAATCACCAGCCTGAACTGTTGATATAAGAATGGATGGATTTCTGCTTTGATGTTGTATATGCCAAATTCTGTTCCTACAATCTGAATGTCACAGAAGAAATTGAGACTTATCTGATCAGGCAGTCTTGTTTTTTCCTCTATCATCCAATTTTGGTAAAACTGTGCCAACCATAGCCTCAGTTTTAGCCTCAACTGTCAGGAGACACTTGCATTGAAGGTTCAACGCTCCTCTGCATACTTTAGCTGTAATGAATGGTTATTTTAAGTAAGTGTTGCCTTTTATGCCAGCTCAAAGCAGTCTGGCCATTTCCCTCTGAACTCTGGTATCGACAAAGCATTTCCGTCCAGGTAATTGACTGGATATTTTCTATTTTTGGACCATTCACTGTAAACCATAGAGATGGTTGTTAAAGAGAAAAATCCCAGTGGGTCAGCAGTTTCTGAAATATTCAGACCAGTCTGTCTGGCACCAGCACCCATGTCACGCTCAAAATCACCTTTCTTCCCCACTCTGATGCTGGTTTGAACCTCAGCAGGTCGTCGTAACCATGTGTACATGCCTAAATGTAGTGAGTAGCTGCCATGTGATTGGCTGATTAGCTATTTGGGGTACTGGGTAGTATAATAATTGGTTGGAAAGTTCAGTGACAATGATGTTAAATAACAAGGCAAAGAAACAGAGATAAGAATCACAGACAGTAGCTGCAGACAACAGTTTCTGTTGTTCTTTCAGAGTTAATTTAACTTCACTTAAAAGAAGCTCTTTGTCTTTTCTGACTTGTGTGATGTGCTTTAACATGGGTCTACAAAGACTACCAAGCAGATTCTTGCCAGGAGCTTTTGGTGGCTTAATTAAGCCAAGCCTTCACGAAAAAAAACTACGAAAAAAATCTTCTAAATGTTCCTGTAGCTACACAATAAAGTTAATATTTCATACAAATCCAGACATATATTGGATGCTGTAATTCCAATTTTACCTTCAAGGACTTGTAATAATGTAGCCAGCAACATTTTACTTTAAATGCTCAGTTGATTTCATTCGATGTCCCAATCTGAGCCTGTTAGCAGACTACACCGTGGCGATCAACTTGTTAAAATCACACCTGCTAAAATGAGCTTGTTTTTGGACATTTTTGAGAACACTGGAGCTTCAATAAGCTGCTAGTATAGCGTTTCATTTGTAAGCAGATACGAAAAATTGTAAATTGCATTTCCTATGAGAAAGATAATGGTTCTTGAAAGGTCGACTATCTTTTTTCCCTTTTTGTATCTATGTAAATGTCCCCAATTATTTCTAGTCTAATTTTCATGAGAGTGTGAGTGAGTGACAGCAGTGAAGAGATAATGGAAATTGAGGAGCAGGAGAGAAAAAAACCTCATGAGAGGGAAAGGTTCAGACTACTTTGAATAGAGGGATAGAGAGCCATGAGAGAGATTTCTATAAAGGACCGTTTCAGACCAGCAGTGGATACCCAGGGGAGTGGTCCCACAACATCCAATTTTAATGAGCGGATTTCAAAACTTACAATGAAATGACAAGTTGAGCCACAACCTAGGAGACAGCTGAGCGATGAAAATGTCTGCTTTCCCCTCGTCCCCCAGGGTATGTGGTGTTTTCCACTTCACTGGGTGTCCTGTCCTCACCTCTCTCTACCTCCCTTTCGTTTCCACCTCCTCTCTTCTGCTCTCCGGTGAATTACCTTCATCCATCCTCTTCTCACTCGTCACTTGTCATCATTTCTTACTCGTCTAAGTGAAACGCTTCCAGCGGGTTCAGATTGTTCAGAGTGTGGAGGACTGTTTCTTCTTGTTTGTTTAATGTCCATGTAAAAGAAAAGTATCTAATCAGTATAGCAGTATTCAGTCTTTTAATTGTGGTGTTGTCATGAGACTTAAATCCTCTACATTTCTTATCTATTTTGCTGTCTTTGTTGTGAGCTTTAACAGCTTTTTATTGGAGATGGATCAGATTTTTCCATTTATTTGCCCATCCAAACAAACAAGGTTTTTTCCAGTGTTTTCTTTAATAATCAGGGTAGGGCTGGGCGATATGGCCTAAAATCAATATCACGATAAATTGAGCAGTTAACCTCGATAACGATAAATGGACGATAACCACCCCAAGTGCCAAAAAAACAAACGTTTTTGTTTTGTTTTTCATTTGATGGGCCTGTGGCAGGCATCATAGTTCATCCAGTTATTTTGATAATATTATTCCCCCTAGACCTATTCATTGCAATTATATTATTACCACTTTAAAGGACTGTAAAATGTCACTGAAAATAAATGAAGACAATAGTAGTAAGTAGTAAGATTTATTAACTGAACAAAATAAAAAGTGTAGGATACAATATCATGCTCTCTAAAAAATGTGCATCCCTTGTAAACAAAATAGTTTAATAATAAATATGTTTCACATTGGCTATTCACAAAGTAAACAATGATTGTGCAAATGTAATGCCATCATGGACAAAGGCCTATCTCTGCTAAGGCCTTGAGGTACTATAACTTGTAAACAAATAATGTCACAAACACAAATGTCAATTGAACACAGAAAAAACTATAATAAATACTAAGCACTGCCATGTGACTCGTGAAAACTATAAACTCTTAAACAAAAACATTAAATAGTGCTGTTTGCAAAAAACTTCAATAGAACACTGATAGTTAAAATTAGGCAGGGCTTGAACAGGGCACTTCAAAAAGGGGCAGCAGCAGACTTGGTATCCTGAGCGGTTCAATCAAACTACTGTTGTAGACGTTTACCTGAGTAGTGTTTACTCCAGGTTCTTGCTAAGAAACAGAAACATATTGACCATGTCAGGTTTCAGGCAGGATCTGAGGCATGTCACAATGTTTCCTCCAGAACTGAAAACCCGCTCGGATGGGGAGCTGGTGGCGGGATGCAAAGATACTTTTTTGCAACTTTACTTAGAGTGGGAAAGTTTACTTGATGCTTTCTCCACCAATCTAGTGGATTTTCCTCAAACATTATTCAAACATTAATACTTTCAATTTTGAATATGACGCACAGAATTAAAGTCACTTTAAAACACACCAGATGTCACCACCCAAATATATTAAGATGTACACACTTACCGATTGCCAGGTGCAGCCTGCGCCCAAAACATTGCACCCGTGTCCATTTATTGAGCTTGACAGCTTTCACAATATTTGGGCCGTTGTCAGTTGTTATAGCAACAAGGTCCTCTTCACTGATGTCCCATGCAGACAGCATCGCTCTCAACCCCTGTCCAACCATGTCCCCCGTGTGATCAGATGGAAAACAGGCCGTCTCGAGCACTCTGGTACGCAGCTCCCATTTGTTGTCGATGTAATGAACTGTGAGACTAATATACGGCTCCATTGTACGGCTGGACCAGAGATCGGATGTGGCTGCAACGTGCTTAACGTATCTCAATTCAGCAGCAACCTTTTCCCTCTCTGTGCTGTACATGCTGGGAATGATAGTTTTTGAAAAATATTTTCGTGATGGGAGTTCGTATCTCTTGTCAGTTATTTTCATGAAGTGTCTGAACCCGTTGCGTTCCACTGTAGCAATAGGAGCCATGTCTTTTGCTATGTGGTAGCCTATAGCATTTGTGATTTCTTGCCATCTTTTTGAAGTTCGCTCATATAGCTGAGTACTAGCAAATGCTTTGGTTATTGACCGCTGCCTGGTGGAGGAAGACGTTTTTGCTGGTCCTCCTACTCTCTTCTCGCTTTGAGCTTTTTTTATGTCTTCGAATTGAATCACATGGTTGTGCTGCAGGTGGCGGAAGAGGTTGGTTGTGTTACCTTGACTTGACGCAACAGTCTTTTTGCAGAGTTTACATTTAACAATATTTTGATCAATATCATCCTTGTTGAATCCAAAATGCTGCCAAACGATTGCTGATGCATTTTTTTTTGTTAACAAGCGTCTCCTCTTCCTCCTCCACCAGCTCTACCTCCGTCGCTGCTGCTTCAACATTTAAATCGTCCTCCATTTGTTCACCCGTGTCTCGTCTTGTTACAGGTAGTAGAGTCATGTGACTCCACCCCGTCAAGTCTGTAACGTAGCACAGCGTCTTAAAGGCACATAAACATCGCCAACCTGCACATGCCTTTTCTTTTCTTTTTTTAAATACCGAATTTACCGACATGGGCAAAATGACGTCGATGAGAGTCATAAATTTCGGTAACGATAAATTTTTGATATATCGCCCAGCCCTAAATCAGGGTATACTTAAAAAAATGACAATTGACAATTGTCCTCTCATGATGATGGGGTGGGGGGTTGTCTGCACTCAGTGTCATGGCAACCAAGCGTACGTTATAAATATCTTCATCCTTAGCCGTGAGTTTGCCCAGATACAATGTGACAAATTAATGTCTCCGTTCCAAACATGCTGCTCATTTCCTTAGAAATCACTTGCCAGAACGAATTAAAGGGCGAGCGTGCACTGTATTAAAATGACCTGTCATTGATTAACCACACAGCCTCCAACATTCATCCTGCCCCCGACTGCAGCCGCCGTCTTGTTTAATGATGTCGGCGTGCACTTTCACACATCGGATAAATATCTCTAGAACATATCTGCCCGTATTTTTCCCCATCTTTCTTTTCCTTGTGTAACTCCCCCTTTTACGGCCTCCTCTCTCCAGCACGGAGCAGACCCCACTAAGAAGAACAGGGACGGCAACACCCCTCTGGACCTGGTGAAGGACGGGGACACGGACATCCAGGACCTGCTCAGAGGAGACGCGGCGCTGCTGGACGCTGCTAAGAAAGGCTGCCTGGCTAGGGTTCAAAAGTTATGCAGCCCCGACAACATTAACTGTCGGGACACGCAGGGACGCAACTCGACTCCGCTGCACCTTGCAGGTAAAAAAGCCGCCCAGCCCACACACTTTTTTTTTTTTAAAAACCTTTTTATCTATAATTACGTCTTAATTTTATCGGTAGAGCGAAACACCACATTTTGATAGCACAACTAGCTCGAGCAGTTGACCTACAATGACCTCGTATTACATTACTCGCATAATACGGTTTTTAAAGTCTTGATAGCACAGACAGCGTTTGTCCCCTTAAAGGCAGACAAACTATTATGTATATATTCAAGGTGTGCAATCATTGTGACATCAGTTTCAGAGATAACAGCTGATACACCATCCTGCTAAAGCCCCTCATGGGGATAAACACACACACACAAATGCCTAATGAGATTCACGCTGATCTAATCATCCATAAATTTACATTAAAATTTCACCTTTTAGTACAAACCATGTCCTGAATTATGAAAACACATTATAGATGCAAACTCAAGGCTGAAAATGAGCATTTAGTTTTGTTTAACTCTTTTACATTATGGGTCATACTTTAGAGGTTGCTTTTATCCTGCTTTTGTTCAATTTGGTGCCCTAAAATGTGCATAATTGTGTCAGGAAAGTTTAAAGACCAAAAACTGCTTCCTGTTTCTCCTTTCTATTATGGATTTTTTGTGTCCTAATATATATATAAACACACTTCTTGCTGCGTGATGATGCAGTATATTTAAATAGGAGGTTTTGCTGCATGACTGGCACTTCAGAAGTTAAGAAACTGCTGGAAAACACTTTAAAGGTCTGAATAAATCTGACCACTTAGACACACGCCCACGCACCCTCTGTGTTGATGTACTTTCTTGTAAAAGGAAAAGATGATTATATGTGCCGTCCCGCTGCCGTGAACGTAGGCTGACATTCACTCTGTCTTTATCATTATTTTGTCTTCTCTCATTAGCTGACTGCGTTTTTATATCTTCCTCACTCATCTTTCTTTCTGTCCTGCTGCGTGGAATCGTCGCCTGTGGCGCTCTCTAGCCGGCTATAACAACTTGGAGGTAGCCGAGTATCTGCTGGAGCATGGAGCCGATGTGAATGCGCAGGACAAAGGAGGGCTGATACCGTTACACAATGCCGCTTCATATGGGGTAAGACACAAACATGACGCTTGCCTTTTTTGCTACCTGTTCATAGTTTCTTTAAAAAGTCTTTTATCTCCTTTAACATTCACTCACTTAAATACTTGAGGCCAGCTGTATATTTATAGTGCATTTGTTTATTTTTTTTATTTATTGTATTCGACTTTTAGAGTAGCAAGACTTACTTCATACTTGAAGCGCAAAACTGATGGAAATGAATCAAGTTAATTTTTGCATAAAAGTGATTGAAAATCTTTATCGTAAACCTTTTTTAGAATTCGTTCATGGATAAAGGTGTAAATGCATGATGAACATAGATTGATAGATAACCACACTTGGGTATTTTAATCAATAAAACAGCTCAGTTGCTTATAATCTTTCTATATGCTTCCCTTCACTATATTGTTTTACATACACTAAATTTAAAATACACTATTATTACAATACTTCACTTACTATATGATTTTATTGTGATTTTTAACATTTTGCAATATGCTCAGTATTGCATATATTGCAGTTTATCACCTTTTTTCAACTGCACATTAAGTCAAAATCATCTCAAGAGGTTGTTGTAAAGTTTGACAAGTATGCATATTTTGGATGTTTAGAAAATGTGTAGCACACAGTGTGTGATATTTAACTGTGACGCTGGATCGTACTTACCTAAACAGCAATAATAATGACTCTCATCTTTAGCATGGGGGGGATATTCGACTGTTGAAGGTTTACATTTGTGCTTTTTCCCTTCATCTTTGGTGGCACAGCGCTCGTAGCTTGTCAGCAGTCTTCTGCTAAAAGAGTCATGAAACACGTGTTTGCATGAAAGCTTGATGAGCTCTGCATTTTGGAAACGCACACACAAACAGTTATACACACTCAAGCATCCCTGACTGTTACTGCAAAACAAGCTACATTCTGTTTGACACCAAGACACGAGCCGTAGACAGACGACGAGGGAATGAGGGAGACGAGCGGGAAAAGCAGGAGAGGAAGGACCGGAAGGAAAAGAAAAATCATGACAGATTTAATAATTCACACGTTTTCTGTTTCACACAATCCTGCAATCCGTTTTTACATGTTTTTTCCCCTGATCTTAATTTTGTAGCACTCATTCAGCAACACTTCACACATTTGCTCTTGTTAAATGCTTTTATTCGTGCTGCCCTCGCCTCCCCCAGACACCTCCTCACTCATCTGCTCTCATTTTCTACTGTTTTAATTCCTCTCCTCCGCTTTCCTGTTTCTTCTTCTTTATGTCTCCCCGCTACTTCCTCTCCTCTGTCCAGCACGTGGACATAGCTGCTCTGCTGATCAAGTACAACACGTGTGTCAATGCAACCGACAAGTGGGCATTTACTCCCCTGCACGAAGCGGCCCAGAAAGGGAGGACTCAGCTCTGCGCGCTGTTGCTCGCCCATGGAGCCGATCCCACTATGAAGAACCAGGAGGGGCAGACGCCGCTGGACTTGGCTACGGTATGAAAGGATTTCTTGTGGGACTTTTTTTGGGATCTGTCCTAATTTCTTCCCATAACAGTCTTCATACTTATGAGTCAGCACATCGACTTAAATAGACGTTCAGATGGTTATGGTTAACTATTCAGAGAGTTGAGCGCCATAAGGAGAGTTTGCAGAAGTTTAGATGGTGGAACAGACAGCTTTCTAACTCCTCACACCCTAATGAGGTTTCCTAATGAGCTTCCTTACGCGTTTCCTTGTTTGACTGTAGGTACCAAAGTTTGAGAGCCTCCTTTGGAAAACAGCACATCACTGCTGCTGACATCTACAGGCTTGTAACTCTGCTAGAGATAAGAGGAAACAGAGGCATTTGCTGCTCTTCTCACACTATGCATTCAGTTTATTTATTGACCATTGGATGAAGTCATTAATGGATATAGCAGTCCCAGGAAAAGCCTGGAAAATTTGGCTTGCTCTCATGAAGCTTCGTGACAGTTTGATCCTGTAATGAAAACGTCACACGTGCCATTTTCTAGTTTAGTCCAGATTAGCTTTGGGATAACTTCACAAAGCGTGGCCTCTGACCATGATTGAGTTAAGCTTCTTAGTCATTACAAGGCATTACACAAAAAAATACAAACACAAGTGCCCTTACAACAAGAAAGTGCATATTTCAGTCAGAAGAAAAGAAAAGACAGTGTCTTATACTCAAAAATAAAGTGATAGATTTACCAAAAAATCCAGAAAAAGTGTAGCACTACAGTGATTTGCTGCAAAAACACAACCTGGTGTGATCTGTAGATAGTGTGTTCCAAAAATACAAACAAACATACAAAACTAATTCAGAGGTGTCTACATGTTGTGTCTTTGTTGCAGGCTGATGACATCAGAGCACTTTTGATTGATGCCATGCCGCCAGACGCCCTGCCAAGTTGTTTAAAACCACAGGCCACTGTGGTGAGTGTCTGCACACAGTATAGGCACAGATGCTGTCTCTGTGTTGAATCAGATGAAGTGTTAATAGCAGAATTCATATCAGTTTTTAATCTTAAGCTCAATGTGAAGAAAAACGTGCTTTGATTTAAACCTAAACGAAACACCGAACGGACCAGATGTGTGAACATTTTTACGTTTCCATATTTAAACAGACGTATCACTGACAGAAGTCTTCATTCGAGAGCTGCGTATGAATTTATGTTGTCACATAATTACCAAAATGTGCAAAATCTAGGTTCTGTTTGCAAATCAGTTAACCAAACATTAATTACCAAACCCAGACAAGGTCCGTGCACAGCGTTTAAATAGAAGCTGATTAACTAAAAAAGTGAGCAACGTGAAGGGCGATCAGAGAGGGCATCCTCTGCCAATTTCAGTTGCTCTGGATCTGCATCAAAATTTAATGAGTTCTTCTTGTGCCCATTGCTCCACCCCACGAACGAGTGTTATGACAGAAAAGCAAGTTTCACCTCAGCTGTCATGGCAGAGGAACAGGGAAGGGTATCGTCTCTGCCCAACCCGCTCTCTGAAACCCTTTTTCTTAAATCGGTTTTTTTAGTTTGTAGATGAGCCTTTTTTTCCTCTGCTAATTACGCCACTGCAAAACATGTTGCATATATAAATACTGATTTAAAAAAGATACAATTTTATTCTTTTATCCACTTTTTCATACTGTGCAGGAGCCCTAAAGAGATAAAAGTAACTGACATGTTACTCAAGGTGACCCAAAGTGCATTAGAGACAGGCACATTCACAATCCAGGTCTCCAAAAGTCCGGTTTCATAACACATGAAAAACTGAAAAGTGTGTTTTGTTGCCTTGAGTAATTATAGTGGAAGGTAAAAAGCACAGTGATTAAGTGTTCATTAAAATGTGGTCATTAAGAAGCTGTCTCGTATGTAAGCTGTCTTTATAGGTTAAAAGTATTGGTATCTGTATTGGAAAAAGCAATATATTTCCTTGGTATCAGATCAATACCAAAATTTGTAGTGTCTCACAGCACTAAACTGAAGGCTTTCTTTATATTAGCTGGCTCAAGAAACCCTAAAGCCCCAGTCAGAGATGGCGGGTATCACAATGATGGTTATCGACTTTCTCTGTTAGGCCCACTTTTTGTTTCAGGCTCTGTACTCGCTCATGTAGAAAAGGGATGTTTCACACATTATGTGACAATCCTCGTGCATAAAATAATTCCTTTGAGTACTGCCTGCTCTGATCAGAGACGTTATGAAATAATGATTAAATGGTGATTAAAAAACATAAAACTATAACAATAAATAAGAGAAGAGATCCATGGTGAAGAGTACTAAAATGTTAAACAAGCATTTTGGTTCCAGTTATTTATTTTTATATCAAAGTGTGTTCCCAATGCAGCTTTTTCCCCCCTTTATAGCTGTTATATTTACAGGACAGTTAAAGCTGTCCGTACTGTCCCACAGCCAAACAAAGGAGATTTAAAAACCAGTTTATTTTTCATCATCAAAGTGAAATTATTCTTACTGACTGAACAGGTGTTCGTGTGTGTGTGTGTGTGTGTGTGTGTGTGTGTGTGTGTGTGTGTGTGTGTGTGTAACTGCTATTCCAGAGGTGTAAAAGAGACTTAGCAGCTTGATTCTTTACTTAGGATCAATTATAAAAATATATGTGTTATGCATCACATGCACATTCCACTCACAATGCAACTAACAGTTTGCTCGGCTGTAACTTCATGATATAAATAAAAGAATTGGTGAAAATGAGGCACTTCGAGCTGAATTTAAAGTGACACATGCAACATAAGCTGCTCCCAGACAGATTGTGGGTCTAAGTTACCATGGTGATTTAAAAAAGAGCCACAAAAAAATTGACATGTCTCGCTAACGTTTCACACTACACCGCTCTGATGAATGAATGGTCCCACAGTTAGTTTGATTACGATGCACCATAACTGCAAGCCCCTGTGAAATCCTACATCATAACCTTGCGTGCATCTCCCGTGAAATGTAACTACACATCAAGACAATCAACATCCATCGTCGCTTCAAGTGGCTGAATGTCACTGATTTTCTTTGGTTGCCATGTCGCTAGCTTTTTCAATTCACCTCAAGAGCTGAAAGCTCAAACACTCAGAATTGGTGACTAAAGAAAAATTTCTATAAAGTCTTACTAAGTCAAAGCAAACCTTCTCCTTCTTACTTTTAGGTAAGTGCCAATGTGGTGAGCACAGGAGCGACAGGGGGTGTGGTCATCTCTCCGTCTCCGTCCCCTTCGTGCCTGTCGGCGGCCAGCAGCATAGACAACCTGGCCGCTCCTCTGAGTGACATCACGGTGGCCGGGGCCACCGGTCCCGCAGATGGAGCGACTGGCTCCGACAGGAAAGAAGGAGAAGGTGGGTGAACGCACAGGAGCGCCCGTTGTACCACGAGTCAAAACTTGTGAAAACCCTGCTGACATCACTTTGTCTCTGCAGCTCTACTTGACATGACCATCAACCAGTTCTTAAAGAGCCTGGGGCTGGAACACCTCCGAGACATCTTTCAGCGGGAACAGGTACACAAACAGCATTTCGGATGTGTCAGACTTTTAAAGCGTGAAATAGGAGGAAAAAGAAGGAGGAAGAGAGGCTGCCGTGAATCCAATCCTGTTTCTAAGCAAAACAACTTCATTGGTCTCCCTCTTTTTGTTGTTGTTACTTGTTGTGTGTGGATCTAAGGATGGCAGGATCTGTCTGCATCCTGTGGTCCACCACTGTTATCCTGACTGTAGTATCACAATTGACATAAAACTTGATGCACACATTTTATGTAGCTGTGGACCAAGGGTGGCCACATGCAGCACCACTTTGATCTTATGTGAGCCGAACAAGTGAAACTCCCCTTTCTGTCAGTCTTGATATAAGAAAAAGAGGCCAAATTTCAACAGTATGTCTCACTTTTATCATGACAAAGAAATCCCCTGTAGTAAATGAAAGAAATCTCTCAGGATTTATTTTTGGGCTTATGCTGTAAGAACTAAATGTGTAAAATAATCTATCATTTAATTACTTTAGTGGAGTATGAATGGTCACAGTTGAGGTCTTTATCAGTAGGAAAAGCTGTAAAAAGTTAAAAGTCCAAAATGTCCTCCTTCACATTTTCCAAAGCTATCCAAGGGGCCAGATTGGAGTCTTTGGCTACGTCCACACTAGCCCGGATGAATTTGAAAACGGCGTTTTCAGTCGTTTTCACAGAGTTGTGCGTTCACATTGAAACGGCCGAAAACGCTTACGTTCCAGTGCTGCGCACGCGTGAAACGCAAGACGATTCGGCCTGCCGATTTTCTGTCTGCCGTTTATTTACTTTCCGGCTCTTTGAAACGTTGCAGCAAAATGTTGAGGAAAAGCATCGAGTTAACAATGAGGTGGAGTTGTTGCTGCGAGTAACACAAAAGTACAAAGTTGCAAAAGCGAGTGAGAATTAAAGAATTTGAAGAAAAGCGATCTGGAGCATGTACAAACTGATATTAATCTTTAATAGGGCTGTCAAAATTAAGCGCAAACAAAACAACTGCTGTGTAATGCCCTCCGCTATCTTAGTTTAATTGGTCACATGACTGCATCACATGACTAAAATGTGTCAAAAGGCTCCGGGTTCACTGTCCACACTGCAATGCGAAAACAGCGTTTTCAAAACGTCAGTGTGGACAGAGGCCAAAACGGAGAGACAAAGATGCGTTTCCAAACGAAAACGTGTTAGTGTGGACATGGCCTTTGCCAGGCCGATCTTGGCTCCCGGGCCTTATGTTTGACACCGCTGCTGTAGACGTAATGAGCTGTGATTTTGTTTTTTTCTTTTCTTTTCTTTTAAGTAGCTCATTCAGAATTTTAATTTGTCTGGTAATTTTGTCGTCTCTAATTGTTTGATTTATGGTTGCGTATCTTGCAGACCTTCCCATCAGCATTGCGTTTTATTAGCAAGTCAATTAGCAAACACCACAAACATCTGCTTAGCACGCCGGCTTTAGCATTCAGCTCAGAGCATTACCAAATTTGCACATCTTGGTGCTGAAAACTGTGGAAAACGGGCAGATGTATAGAGAGTAAAGAACACAAAGGGAGGCGGAGATCTCCACAGAAGACAGAGAAGAAGGTAAATCAAGACAAAGGGGAGGAAAGAGAGAAAGGTGCTTGAATGGATGAAGATAAAAGAAAAGAGAAGCAGAGACAGAACAGTGAAGGAGATGAAAGAGGTCACAGAACGAGGAGAAAACAGACAGTGAAATAAAGTAACACTGAAAGGTGACAGCTGGTAAAAGGCAGGGTGGAAGCATTGTGGGAGATTCTGTGTGCAGTTAAATTTATTCTTGCCCCCCTCCGCTCCTAAAGGGAAACAAGCCTTCATTAATATTCAAACTGAGAGTGATGCAGAGTGATGGGGTAAGAGTCAGCTGTGTCTACGTTTCTACTTCAGAATGACATGAACAAGAACTCAGAGGTGTGACAAAGAAACAAACATTGCTTCAGCTGACCTGTCACTCGTTATAGACGCCTTTAATTTAGCTGCAGACTTTGCACTTTGCTGCCGTTCAGTGTTCTTGATGAATCGCAGAGTAATGGTTTGAACTTTGCACTCTTTGAAGCTTCTTCCTTGTCAAGCCTCACTGTTAACTAGCTTGATGTAAAGGAAGACGTTCAGAGGAGGTTTGCCCAGGGCCTTAATAATGTCTGAGGTCAGCGCCTTAAAGAAGAAAAATAGATGTGAAGTTCTCACGCGAAAAGCAGTTTGAATTCTAGTGTTTTTCAAACAGTTTTGTTTAATTTAACCAGTTTTTGGTCCTTTCTTCAAATTGTTTTATTCTGTTAGGGAGATCCGCAAAAGTCAAACGCTATAGTTTACCCCTCCGCGGTGTGACAGGTTTCTGCTTATTTCTCCGCGGAGCACGTCGCAGTAAACTCCCAGCAGACTACTCAAGCTGTGATGATTTACACCTGTATCAGTGATCAAGGCAGCGCGGAGGGAAAGTTATCTCTGCCTCAAGGATGAATCTCATTTCTGCTCACCCTGAACAAATTCAGGAGAGCGGCGATGACTTCGCCGTCGTCAATTTGCATATCAGCTGGCTTGATTACTGCCATCCATTCATTGACCTTTTCTTTGTGCGGCTGCTGTTTTTCATGAATATTTGTCAGACCTATTTTCTCCGCGGTACATCTTAGATCACTGAACTCATCACTCTTTACAGCGGACAGTTCAGATTATCAGCTTGTAGCATGACCTGCTGCCACTATCGGCACATGACTTACTGTTAAATACATTAAGGCATTGTTAAATCAATTTTTTATGACTGTATAACTAGAGGCAATGGGAAAAATAACAAGTGCACTCTTTTTTCTTCTGGTTTTTTTGCCATCTCTGGGCAGATTTCACTGGATGTGCTGGCAGACATGGGTCACGAAGAGCTGAAGGAGATCGGCATCAACGCCTACGGTCACAGACACAAACTCATCAAGGGCATCGAGAGACTGCTGGGAGGCCAGCAAGGTCAGTATACTAGAAGAGAACAGCGCACTGAGTGTAACTGAGTGGAAAAGCAGTCAAAGGAAGGGGGGGGTTAATAAAACTTGCCAATAAATATTTAAAACAATCAGTTAGACGTATTTCACAATCAATAACATTATATTCTACTAATGTTCAGATATGTTATCCAGGAAATGTGACTCATTTTATATCTACATGTCAAACACTTGGATTAGATACAAGTAGTTTGTGCCTTGCTGTCTTACACTAATGAAGGCTTCTCCTATCACAGAGGTTGGCAGTGATTCGTGATACCTGCTCAAGAGTGTTTTTGACTTGACAAGATGTTGTGAAGTAGTTTTTCCTAACCATGAAAGTAACTCTGATCATCCACTTTAGTTATCATTTCCAAAACTCTTTGCTATCTCAACTGATAGGTTGAAAAAACAAATGTAAACCTAATGATGGGCTCTTCACTTGCATCAGCACCTCTTTGGACTTCATCAATTTCCTGGAATCAACACTTGGAATCAACTCAGGATTTTTTATTTGATTAATATGTCATTAACTAACATGAAGCCATGAAACTGATTGTCAGTCAAGTCGAGTCTGTGTGTGTAAAAATGACTGTCGTTCCTGAACAATATAATTTGTATAGTTTTCCTTTACCTTTTTAATTCATATTTAGTTGAATTAAACATCTTGATCTCTCTTGCAAATATTTGCTCATAGGTGCAAACCCATACCTGACGTTCCACTGCTCCAGCCAGGGCACCATGTTGATCGACCTGCAACCGGATGACAAGGAATTCCAGTCTGTGGAGGAGGAGGTACGCAAACGCCCCTTTAAGCACATGTAACCTACACACGACACTGACCACATTTAAATTCATAGCACCTTTTTTTTTTATCTTACCACCTGCATGAATTTCTTTCAGTGTGAAACAACATTTATTCATTTGCTTGAACAGTAATTTCAACCATGTGCCTAAAGACACATCACGCGGTGTCACAGCAGCCAGCTGAACGAGAGGTTTCATATCTGTGGAGCTGCTCCACTGCCTGCATTGCTCTCGTAATTGAGAAGCCGCGATTGAACGAGACAGCCGATATCAGTGTGAATGAGCTGAAATTAATGAGAACAGTCACATGTTAAAAGAAATTTAACAGGTAATTTCATCTGTAATTCTTCTTCGACAACTTGACAAATGACAGTCATGGAGTCTGGACTGATTTGTTTTTTTTAAATACCAGAAGGAAAGCAGATGAAATATTTTTACCTACAATTATTTTGCACACATTATTTTTGCTGTGTTATGCCACATTTCCCCACAGGCACTGTGAAGGCATCTACTCTTGATTGAATGAGCTGCTGCTTTCCTCTCACACTTTATAGTTATTTTAACTTTTCACATCGAGTTAACAATGAGGTGGAGTTGTTGCTGCGAGTAACACAAAAGTACAAAGTTGCAAAAGCGAGTGAGAATTAAAGAATTGAATTGAAGAAAAGCGATCTGAAGCATGTACAAACTGATATTAATCTTTAATAGGGCTGTCAAAATTGAGAGCAAACAAAACAACTGCTGTGTAATGCCCTCCGCTACCTTAGGTTAATTGGTCACATGACTGCATCACATGACTAAAATGTGTCATCGTTTTCGAAAAGGCTCCGGGTTCACTGTCCACACTGCAATGCGAAAACAGCGTTTTCAAATGTATCCATGTGAAAAGTGTCACTCCCATCTGATGTGGACAATCGAAGATTGCAGCGGTCCCAGATCAGCTGTACACACTGGAATACTCTCCCATGTTGCTTGTCTGTGTTTATTCTGCTATGGTGTGTTGATATCTGTGCATTCCTGTATTATCCTTTTGTGTTACACATTTCAATGTTTTTTTTCCTTGCTACCTGGCCTGACCTGTCTCCCCAATGTGATGTTTGTGTATTGTATGTACGGTCGGCAAGGTCTGTCATCTCTGTGGGCAACTGCAACTGACAAATAAAGGCCATCTCATCTCATCTTATCTCATTTTAGAAATCTGAGGGAAAAAAAGTTTAGTGTTTATGATGATTCATTGTTGTTATGTTTGATGATTTCCTCCTCAGCTACAGAGCACGATCAGAGAGCACCGCGACGGAGGCAACGCAGGCGGGGTCTTCAGCCGCTACAACATCATTAAAGTATGACCTAAAAAACACATCACACTGTACAAATACAGAAATAAGTGATTTTTATTTTCTTCCCTCCTTTAAAGCAAAAAAAGAAAAAGCAATCTGGACATAAATTAAGCATTTTATGTGTGCTGTTTCCCTCCTCTCTTTCCTCTGACTGCAGATTCAGAAGGTTGTGAATAAGAAGCTGCGGGAAAGATACACACACAGACAAAAGGAAATTGCAGATGAGAATCACAACCACCACAACGAGCGCATGCTCTTTCACGGTAAATAAACACTGTGCATGTGGTAAAATATGAAAGCATGCTGAGCTTCTTTAAATATAGTCCTGCTGATTTACTTTTTTATGCTGAAATGCTCTGACAAACATTTGCACTCCTGTAATGAATATTTGTGAAATACATTTGACTCATGTACCAAACATCTGAAAAGGAATTAACTCTTCCAACAAACACAGCTAAGCACACGAATCCAAAATTGGATTATTTCAGTAGAGGACAGTTAGTTAAACTTAGTATTACTCTTGCTGTGCATCATCAAGTGGACTAGAAAAAAACCCCAATTCATCCCCAAAAAGGGGAGTAGTTTTGAATTTTACTCTAGTTAACGGTGTTGTCAGCGCCCTGCGGGGTGGGCAGGGTGTGTGGACACCCAACTTTTTGAATGCGATACCATACATGTACCTACTGGGAGGCTGAGACAGCTACCAGTATTTTTTTTTCCTTTTATTAATGTTTTTGGAACTTTTGGTATCATGAGATGGTACCTGCATCCCTTTCAACTTGCATAGATAGTCCAGCCAATACATGCCATCACAAAATGGTCTGCTGTGTCTTCCAGCACAAGTCTCAGGAGTGTGTTGGAGATACCAAGAGACAGGTTTTAACACAAGGAGAGCTGCAGGACTACTGTCTGCTCTTTTGATCGATGAGAAACAGAAGAAGCACCACTAGAGCCCCACAGAATGACCTCCAGATGGCCACCCATAAGCATATTTATCACATTATCTGTCAGAAACTGACTTCATGAGCAGGGCCCAACATCCTTTATTGGAAGGGGTAATCACAGCTCAGTGCAGCTCAGTTGTCATTAGTTGTCATAGTCTGGCTGTGCTGGACTCTGAGCACATGTCCCAGTAAAGGATGTCGGGTCCTCATGCTGTGCTCATGGCATTCTGATGTTATGGGGGTCAGAAACACACACGGGTGGACATCTTGTTGTAGGGCTCTGGCAGCGCTCCTCCCTTTCCTCCTCACATAGTATTGGACCGTGAAAGTGCTTATTATTGATTGTGTGATAACTCTGCTGCAGTCTGACACATCCACGTCGGCGCTGCGGCATCGACTACAAACATTACACCAGATCCATTTAACCTGCAGCGTTTAACTGTCATACAGCATTTTGGAGAATAGGAGCACGCATACCATTCAGTTTTGGATGATTTCTACAGACACTGAGGCTAACATGGTGGCAGGTTTAACCACGAGGTTAAAATTTAGACAGCATAAAAAAGGTCCATAGGTTCAACTCTACATGAGTTCCTGCAAAGACTTAAAAGAACTGCACCGCTCAAAGGTATCCGACAGCTCCTGATATCTACTTTAAAAATCAGTACATGAGCTGATGTGGTGAATCAGTCGATGCACCTTAAATATCTGTGACAGCTTTGGCTGTCAGCATGCCGTCCTCTAAAGCTCAAAAAGATGAATTAACCGGAGTATGTGAAATGCATAAATTCTGTTTCCTTACATGGAGGGAAAGTAAGGAAGCGCCGCACTCTGCACTTCCTCCATCCTCTCCTAGTTTCATAGTTCTCTTGAGGACTAAGGTGCTTTGTAATTAACTGTAATATTATCTTTCTTTTTAACTGCCGTAGAGTGCAATCCTCCCAGTTTCTTAGCTCAGTTTCCAGTACGCTACCTTTTCTGGCATCTTCAGAGTCTGCTGTGATCTTTTATGTATTACTCTTGTATCTGAAGACATTTCTGATGCAGGCATCACTGTCAGGACAGACATGCTCACAGTGGAGGCAGCTGAGTATTTTGTGTCATTTCTCACTTTTCGGGCCTTCCAGGTTCTCCCTTCATCAACGCAATTATCCATAAGGGCTTTGATGAGCGTCATGCATACATCGGAGGCATGTTTGGCGCTGGCATCTATTTTGCCGAGAACTCCTCCAAGAGCAATCAGTACGTGTATGGGATCGGCGGAGGAACAGGTTGTCCAACCCACAAAGACCGCTCCTGCTACATATGTCACAGGTGGGTGCTCACATCGGCCTGAGCAGCTTTAGCGAGATCTTTTTCGTTTCTTAAAATATTCTTGAAATAAAAATTGCCTTACCGAAAGATCAAATAAACTGATTTTATCGATTCCATGGTGTGCGTCTGTGTGTTTGTGTTTGCAGACAGATGCTGTTCTGTCGGGTGACACTCGGTAAATCATTCCTTCAGTTTAGTGCAATGAAAATGGCCCACGCCCCTCCTGGTCACCACTCCGTAATAGGACGACCCAGTGTCAATGGTCTGGCGTATGCAGAGTATGTCATCTACAGAGGGGAGCAGGTTGGTACACACAGAAAAACATTTTTGCCTTCTAAATTTCAAGGTACTTGGAAGTTTGAGTTACTAAGTCCAACTTTTGAAATTTGGACATAATAGCTCATGCAAAAACTGTATGTATTTATTCATGTTTTTTCAGCGGCGGAAACAAGCTTTTAGTGAGTAGTGGCAAGTCTTTGCAGACATTTGGCATCTTCCATGCAAACTGTTTGCACAGTTGTGACCAAAGTAATCGTAAGGACCTTGTCGATGCAGCACCACAGCCAATTTCACCCAGTAATGGCAAGCAACCCGAACTACTCACTCACCAGCCTTTCTGGGAATACACATTATTACTGTCATTCCCAGTGGGAACACTGACCAGTCTCTAGCACGGATGTCACAATACCAGGAATTTACTAATTGGTACCAGTACCAGTAGAATTACATGATTCTTGATACCAAACCTATAAGGGCAGCAGCACCAGTTGCCATCTTCTTATTCTGCATATAGCCACTTGTAGCCGTATGCTGCCCCCTACAGTTGTACCTCAGTACATACACTGCCTGGTACCCATGGTACCAAGTAAGAACTGTCATGTTTTCAGAATTGTGGTATGAAATGGTGACCATGTGACTGGGGCTTTAGCAACCAATCATAAGCACTCAGAGAATTATAATTTCTTTCCTAGCGAATGGAGGTTGCCAGGCAGTCGCCAGCTGGTCTCTAGGCCCGTGTGACTGGGTGTTTAAATCCTCAAAAGGACCAACACTGTAAATTCCAAAAATCCTCAGCATACACACATTTGAAATACTTACCCAGCCTTTAAAAGATCATACTTAATTTACTTTGTCTTTCTTGTAGTAACCCACGTTTTTTTTCCTTGCACTGAAATCATAACAGTTTGTTTGACTTTCATGTATTTTGTGTCCTCAGGCTTACCCAGAGTACTTGATCACCTACCAGATTGTGAAGCCAGAGAGTCTGGCCACGCCTGCTGCCACTGCTGAGCAAAAGTCCTAAAGGCTGGGTGCCAAGTTAGCCAGACTGTAGTGGACAAATCTCTAAGAGGACCAGAACTGAACAGTAAGGAGTTTCAAACCTCAGACCTTCAAAGTCTCTGGAGCTGGGGGTGGGTGACACGAAGCATCGGCTGGCCAGGAGTCAGATGACCCTCAAACGCGGAAATAAGGAGGAAGAAGAGACGGTGTCTTTCAGTTTTTTGGGGTTGTAATACAGGTTCAGTCCAAAAGGAGCAGACAGTAATAATTAATCATTTGAGGAGAAAATGGAAACTGTTTCATCAGTATTAATGGAAGCTGTTTTTGCAGGCGCTGTGGCTTTGATCTCAAAGTGAAAGCAATTACCACAAAAAAAAATATAAAACAAACAAAAAGCTGTTTTGTTTTTTGGCACCTTTGCACTGCTCCTGTATTCTAGCCCCAGGCTTTAATGTGTTTTTTATATTATGTCCTCTTTTTGCTTTGCACACACACCCACAACATCAAAACAATGCTCCAACGCCACCTCCAGATGCATCGAGAGAACGGAAATTCAGCGCGTTTCTGTGTCGTCGCATTTTCACTTCAGGCCGATATAAAGGAGAAGCCACAGGAGGAGAATATGAAATGAGATGAAACGCAGAGAAGCAAGAGAATCGTTGATATCAAAAAGCAAATAAAG